AAGTGAGTAAGACAGAATGGTAGGATATAAAATCAGCAAGGAGCATGTAGGGTCTGGTAAAACATGGTGAGACTTGGGTTTTATACTGATGTGATGGATAGCCACTAAGGGGTTCTGAAAAGGGAATGACAGCAACTGCTTAACATTAAACACAAAACACAAAACACTTTTGTTCCTACATGGATAACTGACTGGAGAGGTTCAAGGAGGATATAAGGAAGGCCAGTTATTACTATCGTCTAGGAATGTATAATGGTAATTATCCTATCTAATAAAAGAGAAACATGGTAATTAGCCATACATCTGCTACCCTTCCCATTGGCTAATCAGGGCGATATGCAAATTAACTGCCAGCCAAGATGGCGGCCGCAGCCAGGCTACTGACACGAACAGGAGGCTTGCTTGCTTCAGTGACGGAGGACTCCAACCTTCCCCGCCTGCTGCTGCTGGGCTCTGAGCTGCTAAAAAACATTGTTACAAATATAGAAGCTAAACAAAACCCCAGAAACCTATTTTCAGTCAGCCAGGATCTCAGAGCTGGAGTCGCAACAAAGTTTCAAATACAGAAAGTAAACAAAGCGAGAAACCTGCTTTCAGCAGCGAGGTCTCACAGCTAAAGCCGGCTCTCAGCTCCAGTGACGGCCATAAATCCAAGAATAAAAAAAAAAAGGAAAGAAGGAGCAGTTGGGAACTTCAGTCACCCGCCAGCCTGAAAACGGCCCTCAGCCCCTCACCCAGACTGGCCAGGCACCCCAGTGGGGACACCCACCCTGATCTAGGACACCCTTCAGGGCAAAACAGCCTGCCCCCACCCATGCACCAGGCCTCTATCCTATACAGTAAAAGGGTAATATGCCTCCTAGCACCAGGATCAGCGGAGCCGCGAAGCCTCCTGGCCCCTGGAGCAGCGTGACAGGGGGCAGCGCCCAAACCCCCTGATCACCCTGTGGCTCTTTGTGTGACAGCGGGTGGGGCCACAACCTCCCTATCTGCCCTGCTCTGTTCGTGACAGGGGAAGGCGCCCCAACCCCCTGATCGGCCCTGTTCTGTGCATGACAGGGGGAGCTCCCCAACCCCCTGATTGGCCCTGCTCTGTGTGTGACAGGGTACGGAGCCCCAGCCCCTCTGATGGGCCCTGCTCTGTGTGTGACAGGGTACGGAGCCCCAACCCCCTGATGAGCCCTGCTCTGTGCGTGACAGGGGTCAGCACCCCAACCCCGAGGCCGGCTCTGTATGTGACAGGGGTGGCACAACAACCGCCTGATCGGCCCTGCTCTGTACGTGACAGGGGTTGGCGCTGCAACCTCCCCAAGACCCTGCCTTGAGTGTGACAGGGGACAGTGCCCCAACCCCTCAATCGGCCCTGCCCTGAGCCCGACCAGGGGCTGCACCTAGGGATTTGACAGGGGGCGGTGCCCCAACCCCCCAATCGGCCCTACCCTGAGTGTGACTGAGGGTGGCATCGCAACCTCCTGCTCTGCCCTGCTCTGTGCATGACAGGGGGCGGCGCTCCAACTCACCAATCGGCCCTGCTGTGAGCCCGACCAGGGGCTGCAGGGCAGGCACCTAGGGATTGGGCTTGCCCTCTGCCACCGAGGAGTGGACCTAAGCAAGCATGTTGTTATCTCCTGAGGGGTCTCAGACTTTGAGAGGGCACAAGTGGGGCTGAGGGACACCCCCCGCCCCCACCAGTGCACAAATTTTTGTGCACCAGGCCTCTAGTAAGTTATATTCAAGTAGTAGTAGTGGGGTGGCAGTAGTAAAGGGGGATTTGGGATATATTTTGAAAGGAGGACATATAAGCCTTACTGATGGGCTGGATGTTGATTAAAAAGAAAAGAGAAAAGTCAAAGATCTAGTTTTTAACCTGAGCAACTGGGTGGATCATTTACTGAGATGAAGGAGTAGGAGGCAGAAACAGGATTTGGGAGGGGAATTCAAGAGTTCTATTCCAAACATGTTAAGTTTGAAATGCTTATTAGACTTTCAAAAAGAGAACCTGGCTAGGCAGACATAGATATGAGCCTTGAATACATGGGAGAGATCAAGGCAAAGAAGTAAGTCTGGGAGGACAGGTGGCACTTAAAGCAAAAGACCACATGAGATCACATAGAGAATAAACGTAGAAGGTGGCCAAGGACTGGGCCCTGAAGAATGCCAACTTTTGGAGAACATGAAGAAGAGGAGATAGCAAGGGAAATTTTATATGTATTTTATGTTTTCAAGTGTAAGAGGGACTAGAGATTTAGAACTACAGAAAGACAGCTAGATGGGGAAGTTACAGAGAGTGATTTCTGTTCAGCGTAATAAGCACTATAATGAATAAGTTGCTAACTTATTCTTACTCAAAAAGCTATTGAAATTATTTTATATCTACAAACTATGAGTCCATAGCCAGTCATCACAATCTTCTTCAAAAACCACCTTTCAAAGTCATGTGCCTATTCTATTTCTGACTCCCGCCTATTGACTGAGTCTGGATAGCTGCATTTTATGTGTCAGCTGCTCAATTGTTCTATCCCTAACCTCTGGCATGTGTCCTAACTTCTGGATCCAAGTACTCACCCCAGCTAACAACTTTTAGTTGCTCAACACTGACCAGGAGACACATTGAGATCATATTCCCCAGAGCTGCCAAAAGTTTTTGGCATATGATCAATGAAGCACACAGTAAGTGAGTATTCAGCAATTAATCAGGTGACAGAGAACAACTGACGTATTAGGGAACTGCAGAATGAGCCAGATCAAGGTTGAAACAGAGAATAGGAGATTGTACTCCAGACTAGTTACCCCATGGGAAAATCTAATCTCGGTTATCGAGTGTGATTAGACATCCTTTTATCCAGAAGAACTAAAGCTGTGGTTCTCAACCTTCCTAATGCCGCAGACCTTCCTTTAATGTTCCTCATGTTGTGGTGACCCCCAACCATAAAATTATTTTCATTGCTACTTCATAACTATTATATATCTGTTTTCTGATGGTCTTAGGCGACCCCTGTGGAAGGGTCGTTCGACCCCCAAAGGGGTCGCGACCCACAGGTTGAGAACCGCTGAACTAAAGTATCTGAAGTTTACCATGCGTCCAAGGATTCAGGATTTCCTGGAAGCTGGTAACATTATGAACCAAACTGTAGGTACAACCACCAGGGGCACTTGTTCTTTCTGCCCCATACCCTCAGGGTTAGGGGGTTACTCTCTCAGTCTCAGCTATACTGGGAATTCTAAACATCTCATAGGTGTTTGTGAGGATTAAATGAGATCATTGTAAATAAAGTGCCTGGTACATAGAAAGTGCTCAATACATATTAGCTATTTTCATTTATACTTTAGATTATCATAAAATGACAGTCAGCTGAATGATAAAGCATTTCTCTAAAAGCAACACTTTTAATGCTCTTCTGGTATAGAAGAATGATAAAAAGGGTGTTTGGGTTTTTTTAGTTGTATAAACTGGTATATAATCAATAACATTTAAACTATCCTGAAAAAAATTCTCCATTTTTCTAAACTTTTTTACCAAGGTTGGCACAATTATGTTACACAACTAAGAAGTAAAGGTGTGAATTCTATTAACATGAGATTGATAACAATTCTAAATAAATATCAAGCAAAAACAGAACTTTCCAAGCCTAACAATTATTCTGTAAGAGTCATTCAGGACCAGGTCTCTTGTTGTAAATGTCTATATCCTTTAAGTATAGTGTATTTCTATTTCCCTGTATGAAATTTAAGTTTAACTAAAATCATTAAAATTGGCAATAGAAGCAGGAAACCATTTATAAGGCCAGCATGGCTATTTTATTTTTATAAATGAAAAGTTATATAATAGTTTCAGAGTTCCCTTCTTATACTCTTTTAATATTTATAGAAATTTAAAAGAGTTATACTGCTAGAGTTCATTTTGGAAACTGATCATTTCTATTATCTGATAGCAATAAATTATTTTAGTGCAGTTACAGAAATGGTTATTTAAGAGTTACACTCATCTTTATTCATGATCTTTAACAACAGGTCATCTCTATCTAGTACTTGATCTACAAGCTCAAATAAGTGTAACTGAACCAAACTACACTAAGAGAGTCTCAACTCCAAACCACTGAGTCACATCACTAGTCTTTTTGCCGCTAACAGTACATTAAAAAAAGAAAACTGTTCTGGAAACCATTTAAAGGGCCTGCTTGTGATAACAGAAAGTGCTGTACTAAACTACTGAAGAACACACAAGTACCTGGAAGGACTCAGAGCAAAGCTGTAGCCAAGTACAAGGAGATGTTCATGGGCACCTTACCACTATCCAAAAAATAAAGTCCCACACCTCTTATGAAACCTATAGTCGTATATTTCCCTATATCTCTATTTCATGAAATTCGGATTTTTTAAAAGATAATTAATAATTTTAATTTTTCAAACTACTACACAGAAAAGTCACTTATAAACTATAATTTCAAATCAATAAACCTTGATATTTTTCTGCTTTAGATAAATTTTTGTTTTGGAATAATTTTAGATTTACAGAAAAGTTGCAAAGATATTACAAAGAACTTATATACCCTTCACCCGGTTTCACCTACAGTTAACATCTTACATAACCATGGCTTTATCAAAACTAAGAAACTAACATTGGTACATTACTATTAACTAAACGACAGACTTTATTTGGATTTTCCTCACGGATGTCTATTATCAGTTCTAAGATCCAATGTATGGTGCCACATTGCATTTAATGACATGTTTTTAGTGCTTTAAGTTTTAGAACATGCTAATCTTGTGTGTCTTATTACCAATGTCCTAATTATAATTATTATAAAAATACAGTTCCTTGGAAAATATGATTTATTGGATGATAGCAAAATGTTACATTACAATTAATATAAACATGACATTTCTATTAATGTTTCATTGAGAAGAAGAGAGGTAAATCTGCATTGCTCACTTTGTCAGGAAACTGTTAGATCAAATTATTTTCAGAAATATTTCCTCAAAAAATGCTTGTCACTTACCTATCTCTCAATGTTCCAGTAAAAAGTCATAAAATATGTGGTAAATTCTTTTAATTAATCCTGTAATAGAATATAAAGTATTATTATAATCATATTCAGATAATCCATTTTTATCAAATATATGTAAAACTACTTTCCTTTCATTCCAAAATTTCATTTTTTTAAAAATATATTTTATTGATTTTTTACAGAGAGGAAGGGAGAGAGATAGAGAGTTAGAAACATCGATGAAAGAGAAACATCGATTAGCTGCCTCCTGCATATCTCCCACTGGGGATGTGCCCGCAACCCAGGTACATGCCCTTGACCGGAATCGAACCCGGGACCTTTCAGTCCGCAGGCCGACGCTCTATCCATTGAGCCAAACCGGTTTCGGCCCAAAATTTCATTTTTAATTACTATGTAATTTTTTATTAAGTTAACAAAAGAATTAATTTAAGGGAGAATAATTGTATATGTGAATTATATATCTTTAAAAACAAAGGCATGCTATCAAGATACCAATGGCATATTTCATAGAATTATTCCAAAAATTTGTTTGGAACAACAAAAGACCCCATATTGTTACAGCAATCTTGAAAAAAAGAAAAAGAAAAAATTGGGAGGAATTTCCCTATCTTACATCAACCTTAGATTACTACAAGTCCATAGTAATCAAAACAGCATGGCATTGGCATAAAAAACAAACATATAGATCAATGAACAGAATGGATAGCTCAGGAATAAACCCATACCTTTATAGAGAATTAATACCTGACAAAGGAGGCAAAAACATACAATGGGGTAAAGACAGTCTATTCAATAAATGGTGCTAGGAAGACAAGACAGTTACATGCAAAAAAAAGAAGAAAAGAAACTAGACCACCTTTTAACATCACCTACAAAAATAAACTCAAAATGAATTAAAGACTTCAGTGTTAGTCCCAGTTGGTTTGGCTGAGTGGATAGCCTGTCAGAATAACTATTGTCAATAAATCAATGTTTGGAGAGGATGTGGAGGAAAGGGGACCCTTGTGCACTATTGGTGGGAATACAGATTGGTGCTAGGAAGACAAGACAGTTACATGCAAAAAAAAGAAGAAAAGAAACTAGACCACCTTTTAACATCACCTACAAAAATAAACTCAAAATGAATTAAAGACTTCAGTGTTAGTCCCAGTTGGTTTGGCTGAGTGGATAGAGTGTCGGCCTGTGGACTAAATGGTCCTGGGCTCAATTCTGGTCAAGGGCACATGCCTGGGTTGTGGGCTCGATCCCTAGTAGGAGGTGTGCAGGAGGCCGACAATCAATGATTCTCCCTCATCATTGATGTTTCTATCTCTCGCTTCCTCTCCCATCCTCTCTGAAATCAATAAAAATATATATTTAAAAAAATAAAAAATAAATAAAGACTTCAATGTTAGACTCGAAACCATAAAACTTCTAGAAGATTTTACTGCATAGGCAGTAAAATCTCAGACATTTCTCACAGTAATATTTTTTCTGATATATCTACTTGGACAAGAGAAACAAAAGAAAAAAATAAAGAAATATGATTACATAAAACTAAAAAGCTTTTGCACAGCAAAACCATTATCAAAATGAAAAGACAACCCACTCAATGGAAGAACATATTTGCTGATACATCTGATAAGGTGTTAGTATCCAAGATTTATAAATAATTTATAAAACTCAATACCAAAAAAAGCAAACAATTAAAATAAAAAATGGGCAAAGGACCTGAATAGAAATTTCTTCACAGAGGGCATACAGATGGCCAGCAGGCATATGAAAACATCACTAATGATCAGAGAAATGCAAATTAAAACCATGCTGGGGGGAGAGGGATGGGGAAAAGTGGAGGGGCATATGGGATGATAAATGGTGATGGAAGTAGACATGACTTGGTATGGTGAACACACAATATAGTTTACAGATTATGTGGAATTGTGCACCTGAAACTTCTACAATTTTGTTAACTAATGTCACCCCCATGGATTCAATAAAAAGGAAAGCAAAAAAGAAAATGAAAAGTCAAGCTAACAAATAGGAGATAATATTTGCAAATTATATATCTAATAAAAGACTTATATTCAGAAAAAAATAATAAAGGCATGCAAATTTTAATAAAAGTTTTAAGATAAATAGAAAAGGTTATAGAAAAAAAGGCCACAATGAATAAAAACTGACTAAGAAGGATATCTCACATTCTTTTCCATGTGCATAATGCTGTGGAAATTACTAAACGGTCATAAACAAGTAAATCATATTGAGGGCACAGTGTTTTTGAGGGAAAATAATAAGGGTTGGGATTAGGAGATTTTTGAAAAAAGTGTCTGGCAAAGTATCTATGTGTAACAGTTTGCCTGAGACAGTACCAAATTATGCCCACTGTCTCAACCAATTTATTATTTGTCCTGGATTTCCCATTTTCTAGTGAATTTTTTTAAAAAGTAGTATTATAATAAGCCAGGACTTTCATTTTCAGGTTCTGTCATAATCTCATTGAACAGTGTGAAATGCATAGTTATTTAAAATGGCCAAAATTTGGAAGCAGCCCAAGTGTCCATCAGTAAATGAGTGGATTAAAAAAAGCTATGGTACATTTAAACAATGAAATCCTACTCAGCTGTAAAAAAAGAAGGAAATCCTACCTTTTGTGACAGCATAGATAGACCTGAAGAGCATTATGCTAAGTGAAATAAGCAAGTCAGAGAAAGACGAGTACCATATGATAGCACTCATGTGGAAACAAAATGAACTAACAAGCAAAATAAACAGACTCATAGATAGAGAGCAGACTGGGAGCTGTGGGGGTGAGAGGGTTGGGAGGCTGGGGGATGGTTGGAGGGATTGAGCAAAAAGAAAAAAAGAGAAAAAACTCATGGACACTGACAACAGTGTGGTGAATGCTGGGGGGAGAGGGATGGGGAAAAGTGGAGGGGCATATGGGATGATAAATGGTGATGGAAGTAGACATGACTTGGTATGGTGAACACACAATATAGTTTACAGATTATGTGGAATTGTGCACCTGAAACTTCTACAATTTTGTTAACTAATGTCACCCCCATGGATTCAATAAAAAGGAAAGCAAAAAAGAAAATGAAAAGTCAAGCTAACAAATAGGAGATAATATTTGCAAATTATATATCTAATAAAAGACTTATATTCAGAAAAAAATAATAAAGGCATGCAAATTTTAATAAAAGTTTTAAGATAAATAGAAAAGGTTATAGAAAAAAAGGCCACAATGAATAAAAACTGACTAAGAAGGATATCTCACATTCTTTTCCATGTGCATAATGCTGTGGAAATTACTAAACGGTCATAAACAAGTAAATCATATTGAGGGCACAGTGTTTTTGAGGGAAAATAATAAGGGTTGGGATTAGGAGATTTTTGAAAAAAGTGTCTGGCAAAGTATCTATGTGTAACAGTTTGCCTGAGACAGTACCAAATTATGCCCACTGTCTCAACCAATTTATTATTTGTCCTGGATTTCCCATTTTCTAGTGAATTTTTTTAAAAAGTAGTATTATAATAAGCCAGGACTTTCATTTTCAGGTTCTGTCATAATCTCATTGAACAGTGTGAAATGCATGTGCAGTGAACCTAGTGCCATTTAACATGTGGTTAAATCTGAAAGGCCCTGAACAGTAGCCCATCCCTGGATGAACTGTAACTGATGGGCTGTAACTATAACTTCATCCTCAAATATAGCATCCAAGCCATTTACAGAAAGAGGAGCATTCAGGAGTAGCCAGGGAAAACTGACTCCTTTAGTCTTAAATGAAGGTCGAAGAAATATTCAATGCTGCTGCCCCTGCTATGCCTAGCTTGATTACACCAAGAAAAGCATATGGAGAAGATGTTTTAAATATTACTTTATAAAGCATGGCTTTCCAATTAGGTCAAATGACTGTTCTTTAAATACATTTGTATAACTCATAGACACACACAATAGTATGGTGATGGCCAGAGGGAAGGAGGGTGGGGGTGGGCTGGTAGAGGTGGGAAAAGGGAGGGGAAATGAGGACATCTGTAATAGTGTCAACAATAAAAATAGAAAAATGCTGTTCTTTACATTTCTTAGCTATGATTACAAATTATCTTATTTAAACAGTCAAAGTTAAGTGACAGCTGATATTTTGCTGGCTCTATTAGCAGAAGAAATTCACACTTAAATGATGATAGCTTCTTATCAGTGTCAGGAGATATATCAACTAGAAAAATCAGTTAATTCCAATAATTGTTTGATTGTTTTCACATAATCCATCAAAGTAAAGCTTTTGGAAGTTCATTCTGTCAAACGTGAAACACCAGTCATTGCTGTAATTGCTACTTAAACTGAGTAAAAATGTTCAACAACAAAGATAAAATTATAGACCGTTTCATTATTCAAAGTAACTAAGCTCTATAAAGCCACCATGAACACGGAATTTATGAAAAGGAAACCATTGCTCTTAGAGGAAATACAGTTAGGCTCCTGTGAGCTTTGGCCACAACGATTTCATCAACTAATTAAACATAACCTTGTTTTATGTGCATTTCTAAAGACACTTTAATATAAGTTGTTGAATCAATAACATTGAACTCACAGTCAATAGTATTAATTCATGCCTGAATGAAGCTTTTTATTAAATTTATTGTTGACAATATTATAGAAGTCCCCCATTTTCCCCAACTTTGTACCTTCCACCCAGCACCCACCCCACACTAGGCTTCCTCATACTATTTTCTGTGTCCATGGGCTACGCATATCTAAACTAATAAAAGAGAAAAATGGTAATTGGCGTATGACCGATACCCTTTTCATTGGCTAATCAGGGAGATATGCAAATTAACTGCCAACTAAGATGGCAGTTTACAGCCAAAAAAGATGGCAGCTAATTTGCATATTGCAGGCAGGATGTAACAGCGCCATCTGAGAGCGGGTTGTGGGTGTGAGTACCAGCAGTCACCTGAAACCCGATCTCCCCGGCAGACCGGGACACGGGCCTGCGGGGCAACTGCGGCATCCGCCCGCACTCACGCCCCCAAACCGGACCTATCCCGCCGGCAGACCCGGACGCG